AACGCGATTTTAGTGTTGAACTCTAAAAATGTGTACGCCAAGGCAAGCGTAATTGTGTGATTTCTTCGAGGAACGGATCAGAAAGTTTAAGTTTTCCCACTTAAAAGTGTCTTTTGAGTCGTAATAAAATACGACAGTGATAAAACGTTTCCATATCTAGAACAAAATGTTAATGCTGTGATAACGAAAACGCTTGAACGTATTCGTCGAAATTGTGTGAAAAGATGGGTTTGAAAAAAGTTTAGAAAACTCGACGTTACCGTTTGCTTCCGGCTGCTCCCTCGACGGCTGCACGCGTCCACGCGAACACTTGCATGCGTGAATGCGTGCAGCGTGCCCCGCGTGCACACGCGTGTACGTTCACGAACTTGTGACACGAGTACCGGTAGCCGGCAGTCTCACGGACGATGTAACGGCAATATCGTGTCGTGACGTCCTGGCGAAAACTGTGTCGAGAATTACGACTTGAGATGTCTCCTCACAATTCACATCCCTTACCAGAGTTCAGAGTTCAGAGGTTTTCTGTGGATCAACTAGTGTACGCTAGTTTTTTTTCTCACTTTTGAAACTTAAAGTGAAAAAGGTATATATGTCAATGATATTTGTCAAAAGTGAGAAAGAGAGTACTAGTGCAGGAACAGAAAAAAGACCACATGTTTCTGCAAAACAAATGACAAATTGCTAGAAAAGATGAATGAAATTAAAATTCAGTGTCTTTATAGATACAGAGTATCTGCTCAAACTTTGGAGAAAATTCTCTGAAAATTTGTCAGTCGAAGTTATAGAGCATGTATTTTATTGTACTTAAATAGAAATATAAATTTTTCTTAAATTCTTCTTTCCCGATTGTGAGAATAAGAATAAAAATAAAAACAAAAATTTCTCGCCAAATGAAATGGAAGTCTTTGAAGAAATAATTCCTCAAATTATGATAAAATTCTTGGAGAACTCCAGATTTTCTGAAATAACGACTGTTCCGAGAGATTCAGAACAAAGTAAACTTTGCTAGCTTTCTGCTGTGTGCATATACGAGTATATTAATCATACATTTTTTATTAGAAGCTGGAGTAAGATGTGTATAGCTAAAATCGTGTGCGCAGCCTGAACTTGTTATCGAAGCTGCAAGCGCATCCCGCGAATGATGCGTCTTTCGGAAATAGTGCTCTGCAGAACGCGCATAATTGACCCAATTGAACCAGTACGTAGTTGTTTATGAAAAGAGACAGAGATGACCAAATACCGGCTTCTCGCCAAGGTTAATCACTAATTCCTACATTCTGTGAAAACTTGAAATCATAGACACAATATGACATTTCGTCGTTCTATGTTTTTACGTTTGGATCAGGGATTTCCGAATAAATGAAAAAATGATTCGAAAATATTATATATCTTGAACGTAGCGCGCAAAGAACGCAAGTTAAATATAAAAATCAATAATATCTTAGATAATAATATTGATTTGTGAGACAAATGTATTTATAAGCCATAGTATGTTCAATTAATTTCAATTATATATAATTTTAATCCTATTAAAAGTTAATCTGCGGGTCTCGTACATTTAAACTCGATCGCGACGAGCCGTATTCAGAAAAATCGTTATATGTATAATCCAATTATACAAAAATCCTGTTCACAGACTTCACGGCTAACCGGTGGTATATTCGCATCTTATTAAGAGCAAAGGTTACAATGTGAAAAGACAGAAATAAAAATGTAGAATAGGCATCGAGTGAAGCGACTCGAACAATGTTAGAATTATATCAAGCGTATCGTGCTCAAAGAAATAGTTTATACATACTCGTATACTGCACCATGTAGAAAGTATCGAATCGAATGCGCGTAGCACACTATCGAGAAGCATTTTTGCCCTCGGAGTCGATCACTGAAACCGCTGAAACCGGAACGACGCGACGCCGACGCCGACGCCAACGCACGGCGGCACGGCGGCGCGGCGGTGTCGCTGTCGATGAAACGGCCGGAAACTGGAGGCAGAGCTCGACGTTCGTCGAGAGCCGCGCTTCGTTAAAGTCTGAAATCGCATTAGCATCGACGTTTTCACGCGAGGGAATCAAAGCGAGAACCAATGAGATCGCGGAGTCGCACGAGCCTTCAACGTACAATTAGTAAATAAACGACTGAATTGTTAAAGAGAGAGTATCTGAAAGTCTCGAATCCCGATCAAGTAAGATACTATGATGTATCTTACATCGGGGAGATGTATCTGCCGTAATAATTATTTATAGCCACGTCAGGTTTAAAATAAAACGTGCGATACTTTTTCCTAGCCGACGAGATTCGTGTCGTGCTGCTGCTTGGAAAATTTCATATAACATCGTTGTCGACGCGTTTTCCCGTAGCTTCCGGCATACGTTGCAAGTTACGAGTTGCAAAAGTCGTACCTAGAAGCGTTTAGTTGTTGGCAACAATTCCGTCGCCCCTAGTTCGTTCATTGAGGTTTCAGGCGCAATTGAACGCAACGGCACGGTCGCGTCAAAAGTGATTCTCATCGATTTCTCCGACGAAAGATCGGATCTCTCGGGGCAATTAAGCGTATAATTTAAACGGTTTATGAGATTATCTCAAGCGGGGAGGTAACCCAAGTTCAAGTCGTGATCGAAAAAATTGACCGTATCTCTCCATCTCTGCAATACGGTTTTCAACTTGACACAAATGTCAAGTAAACCTGTAAGTAATTTCTAGCTCCCAAACTCTCGTCTGACGAAGATCGCCTGAAATGAGATTTTGAGAAAGCAATTTTTCTCTCAAATTTGTCACGAACGCCAAGTTCTGGCCGAGGGAGACTTACTTGGATTATTCGGCCTTGGTGCGTCATCGCGTCGCTACCGTTCACGCACTGTCCTTTACCGTCGGGACTGGTCGGGACACCCGGTAGGTATATCCCCGTAACCAATTTGTACCAAGGTATCGACGCTCGATACCTGTCCTGTCCCGGCCAGTCCAGGCCAGTCCCGGCTATACGATGACGCCTCTCACGTAATCCGCGCTTCCTTTAGTTACATGTTACACTATCACTTGCGTATCGCGCGTGGTGTGGCGTGGCGTGGCGTGGCTTGGCTTGGCTTGGCTTGGCTTGGCTTGGCTTGGCTTGGCTTGGTTTGGCTTGGCGTGAAAAACAAAGAGTTGATCGTGTCCACTCTATGCATATTATTCACATAAACGAGTGTTATTTGTCAACAATTCATGTGTCGCGATTGAAAGATTGTTAGAGGAAGATGTCTGTACAAGAGAATCTGTCCGCTCTCCGGACAGATCGATGCACCCTGCACTCCGATCAGACGACGTATGCACCGCGCCGCGCCGGCTTGCCCGGTCACAATAGTTTTCGCACCCCACGTTTCATTTCATCGCTTTCCCCTCACGATAAATGCAGTCGTCCGGAATCGCAATTCTATTCGGAGACGAGGCTTTCGCAGCGAGCGAGGCGAGGGTCGAAAGAAACGGTCGTCGATACGAAATAAGGTGCTCGGTGTTCAAGATGGAACTGTCGTTTGTCGAGTTGCGTTAAGACGTACAACATACGACATATCGTCCAAGTTTACGCTTTTCAGCGTATAAATATATGAATATGAATCGTGGCGAATTGCATGGTCAGACGCGCATATCGGCTATCGCTCGACTTTGTTTTCTAGACAAGATACACCGGCTATCACCGGCGATATCGGCAAGTAGCAAGTAGCACACTTACCTGCGAAAGCAGCCTTCGCCGTGTACGACTACGACGCGCACCAGCGTGAGGAAGCGCGGAACGCGCGGCGAACAATGACACGGGCGATCGACGTGAGGGGGCGGGAGGAAACAGGGCTTGGTTCACCGATCCTCCTTTCCTCGAAGCGGAGCCGAAGCGAGAGACAGCCAGACAGGCGACACCAGGGACCAGCTGCGCCGTAGCTGGCCGTAGCTGCTGGCCGTAGCGTAACGCACGTAGCACCTACAAACAACTGTCTCTCTCTCCCTCTCTCTCTCTTGCAGTCAATTCGACAGGTCAGTTCGACGGGTCAGGGTGGTCCACTTGGCTTACACTCACGACTCTCACGAGACGACGCCGTACGGGACGGGGACCACGGCCCTTGTTATCCGCGCCATTTTCAAATAGTCCTTGGAGAGAGCGGCGGCGACGTTGAGAAATTGCGTATCGCGAATCGCGACTCGCGAGTAACGCGACGCGGACGCCGCCCCGGACGCGCCGCGACAAATTCTTCGTCTCCCACCTCTTCCCGCTTTCCACCTTCCTCCTATATTATTTCACCGCACGAATACCGCGAATAATCGCGAGACAACGAGCGGATCAGAGCGGATTACCCAGTAGCGTTACTACACCGAACCGAATGCCACTACGACACTGCCCTCGACTCACCTCAAGACTGTCGGGCTCGACCAGGCTCGACTCCTCACTCCTCAGTCCTCAACTGGACGTTTCTAATTTCCACGCGCACCCGCCGTTATGGCCGACTGCGAAGTGCGACTGTGCGACTAGGAAAAACGGAGTTTCTCTCGTGACGCAATCGAATAAGCACGCCCCGTTTCACCTGCATTTTCTCCGTCAGGCGGCGCCACGCAATCGACAATCGATAATGTTGATCGCCGATTATGTTTTATCCGAGGAGCCAAGTTAGTCGGTTATATCGAGGATCGGTAAATGGTCGAGCAAATACATATATCAGGTACAACGTATTATATTTTTATTTTTACGCGTAAAATTGAGCAAATAAACATACGAGATGAGATGTGCTTTGAAATAAAGCAATCTTTAATTTTTTCTCAAATACAGATTCTTTTTTGTAACAAAATAATTTTTTTATTTATTCTTTCTTTATGTATTTCGCATCGTACATTCATATTTAAGATTTGTTGCCGACCTATTTTCACGAACGTTGATTGCAATCAACGATAATGACTAAAAAAGATTTCGCATCTAGATCACTCGTATGTCCAGTAAATAAAGATACGATCTCTGCATAATTCAAATGCCTGATTGCTTGGTAATTAAACCTGGTTCAGCCAGTGTAAAAAATATTGCGACCATACGCAAGTCGTAAGCGGCAAGATGAAGAGATTTGAAGAGAGGAGGCGAGACGAGAGGTCGAAGAGAGTGGAGCAAGAGGGCCACGGAGGGTGAGGAGGCTAGGAGGAGGCGTTTACGTCGTTTACGATTCGACGTGGCGAAACTGAGTGAAACTGGGCGAAATGCGAAAATCTTGATTCATCTGGATCTGGATCGATTGGATGTTCCACGACCTCGCTGTTGGACCTGCTTGGACCGCTCGAAAGTTCCTCGTCGTGCGAATTGACGTAAATGCAGAGAATCACGAATGAAAAATTATCGGATCAACGGATTCTGACGATCCTCGATCGAGTGCAGCCAAGACTGCCAAGTTTTTGGAATTCACATTCGACTGCACTCGCCAATCGCAACGTTTACTCGATTATGTGTCATATTTTGTGATAACAATACTACGTCACTGTCGCCCTGGTATCGCGATAAGGTCAGTTTATCCTCGATTATCGCTGCGAGGTTAGACAGTTCTCTCGGATTCTACGAAATGTAGCACACGGTCTTTTCTAACAACTTCTGCACGATTAATCTGTGGATGTGTATATACACATTGATATTTGCTTTTAGATCTGTAACTTCTTCACCAAAAAATTAATGATTGACTTTATTTTGCACATTAGGATAAAACTTAATTATTAATGTATTGGTCATAGTCTACATCAAGTGTAACTGGTGTTAATCTTTACTTATTTTATAACTGTCTAAGCTGTCTAGGGCTTAATTGCACCAACTTTTGATGATTGACTTCAAATGAGGCTTAATTCTTTCTCTCTCTCTCTCTTTCTCTCTCGCTCGCTCATTCTCTTTCTTAAGTCCAGAAAGGACTTTTTTTTTTTAAGGACAGAGAGGAAGACAGTCTTAAGTCTTGCTTAAAGTTTAAGTAACTTTGGTGCAATCGGATCTAAGCATCTAAAATAAAATTTGAAAACTACGTATATTGTATAAAAATAGAATTTTCAAATTTTGATTTTATGAACTTGATACAAGGCATTCTTGAAAGAGATTTAATATATGAGACATGATGTATTTTTACATCATAATATAAGAGATATATGCATGTATAATATATATCAACTAATAAAACAGCATTGTACAATAAATAATGGCAAGCGAATCTTGGAATGTCTTGGTAACGGGAGGCGCTGGTTATATTGGTTCTCATACAGTATTGGAATTGGTACAGGCGGATCTTCGGGTGGTGGTAATAGACAACCTTATCAATGCACACAAAGGTGAGACGTAACAAGCTACATGGCAAAAAATGATATATTGTATATGTATATATTTCAAATTAAACGATATGGATAACACAGTAAATTAATTACTATCTGTTTTCTACTTAAATCTAACATATTTTCTATTGGTAATATAATATGCACATAAATGCATGAAAATTAATAATTAATTAGAGATTAAATAGTTATTCTGATGAATTATTACTGTTTTTTTGATGAATTATTACTGTCATGTATTGTATAATTTGTATAGGTATATAATGGAACTTTTAATTTTTCAATCTGTTTTTCTTATGTTGACAGACTCAAATTCTGAGAAACCAGAATCTCTCCTTAGAGTGGAAAAATTGACAAATAAAAGTATTGTATATATCGACAGTGACATCACAAACATCAATGATCTAAGAAGTGTATTTCAGAAAGTAAATATGCTTATTTGCTCACAAATTTTACTGATAGTACGTTGGATTCAAACATTCAGATTTTTATTTTTACAGCATACTTTTCACTGTGTTATACATTTTGCTGCATTGAAAGCAGTTGGTGAGTCATGTCAGAAACCACTCGAATACTATAAAACTAATGTCAGCGGCACAATAAATTTGCTACAAGTTATGCGGGAAAGCAATGTAAAACGTTTTATTTATTCAAGTAGTGCCACAGTTTATGGTGTACCTGAGCAACTTCCTTTAGTAGAAGACATGAAAACTGGCAACTGTACAAATCCATATGGAAAGACAAAGTTTATGGTGGAAGAAATACTAAAGGATTTATGTACATCTGATAAGGTACATATTATAATATACTATCTTGTGATTCGCTTTAATAAAAAGTTACTTTTTAGGAATTTTCCGTTATATCTTTGAGATATTTTAATCCTGTCGGCGCACATCCCTCAGGTGAAATTGGAGAAGATCCAAACGGTATTCCAAATAATTTAATGCCCTACATTGCACAAGTTTCTGTTGGAAAAAGGGACACGTTATACATTTATGGCAATGATTATGATACCCCTGACGGTACAGGTAAGAGTTTTATACTTACTTTTTTTTTATTGCAGAAAGTATTACTAGATAAAATTCTTTTTACAGAGAAAAGCTCATATAAGAGTAATATTGTATATATTGTAATAGTATATATTGTAGAAAGAGAGTATGTATTGTAGGAAGAAAGAGAGGTTTACGATGATATTAAAATCTTTTTTCTAAATTAAATTTGCAGGTGTGCGTGACTATATTCATATTATGGATCTGGCAGTTGGACATATGAAAGCTGTAAAGTATCAAAAAACTCGTAATCCAACAGGATTTAAGCCGATAAATCTTGGTAGTGGAAAGGGCTATTCTGTGTTTCAAGTTATACACGCGTTTGAAAAAGCATCCGGACAGAAAATACCATATAAGATAGTTGAACGTAGACCAGGTGATATCTCCGCCAGTTACGCAGATGCTAGTATCGCTAACAAGGAACTAGACTGGACTGCTACAAAAAATATGGATGACATGTGTAAATTATAATAAATGAATAACAATGGCAATATTTTTATCCATATTTTTTCTATTTGAACGTTTTAAAATTAGAAACTTATTACATTCCAGGCGCAGATACGTGGAAATGGCAACAAAATAATCCAAACGGTTATAAACTTTAATAAATATTATGCTTAAATAATTAAGAGAAGCATTTAGAGCTTCTAGCTTGCTATTGCATTTTGTCTTCTGCATATCATTGGATAGATAATGAAACCATGGTGGTATACAGTTACCAAAGTTTAGACCAAAGCATTAAAAAAATAATTTTTTATCTTGTTAATTAAGCAAATTTTATGTAATGAGAATTTTTATATCTAACAAAATATGATATTGGAAAAGTTATTTAGTTTGTGTTTATGTAAATCTGTTAAATATATTTTAAGACATAATCTTTTTGCATATGTTAAAACTAAATCGATTTCTATTATTACGCAATATGGTGCCATTTTAAATAATCACACAATATAGTATAAATTAATATGTATATAATCTATATCTAAACTATTGTATGTAAAGAATATAAAAATACTTTTATATATACACACTAATGATACTAAAACAATGTAAATATATAATTGTAGTATATACGAATAAAAAGATACGCAATTTATTACTGAAAAAATTTCCTTTTTTCGACACTTGTTATATTCTCGATACGTAATAATTTTTTTTATTATCATTGAATAAATTGCCAATAAAATTAGATGATGGTACTACACAATTAAGTGTGAGAAAAAGGAAAATTTAATTATTCAAATCATTATCATTCCTAATTCGAAAATTGATATCGTTGCCTGTTCGAGAAATCGATAAGATGTCCAGGGGCCGACAATCATTGATAAAGGTAATAAAGGTAGTAGACCGCGCGATTTTACGTAGCTATTTTGAAATTTATGGTCCGACGTCACATGTCATTCTGAAAAAAAGTAGAAAGCCGATTAGTGCTGGCTGGAATTTAAAGAGTAGGTTAGGATTGCTCATTTGTCATCATCAGCTGATCGGACACTAAACACAACTAAACAGTAAGCAGACCAAAGCAGACGGCACCTGCTTGTATCGACATGTTCGTTCAGACTCCGATCGTATCCAGTCGAGTCGTTCTGTGAGATATATATATATATATCTTGTGATAACCGCTTAAACCGTAACAATCGTGCCGATCATGGACCCATCAAAGGATGAAGTGCAGATGGAAGGAGCTCTGATTGAAAATCTATCCGCGGAGCAGAATTCGAGATGCGAGTCACCGAAACGCGGCACCACACTCTCCACCAGCACCAGCAGTTTCGAGGCATTGGACCCGCACGATCCAAACCTGAGTCGTTTGGCGAACACAATGTTCCAGAAGACGGGCGAATACCTGCAGGAGGAGCTCACCGCTACCCACGCAGACTATCGGCTGCTGGAGCGTCTAAACAAGGAGACGATCGCAAAGTATACGGAACTGAAGATCATCTCGTCGAACGTAGTGCAGTCATTGGACTCGCTAAATGACAAGTATAAGAAGCTACAACCGATTCTGGATAATATCAATCAGATTGATGACAGCGTCAGTAAATTGGAGCAAGCTGCATATAAGCTAGCAGCGTACTCCAAGCGACTCGAAGCCAAGTTTAAGGATCTCGAAAAGGATACGAAAAACAAATGAAATTGTAATTATGAATATGTAAATCATTGTATGTACCTTTATGTAATTATCCTATAAATAATATATAGGATATAATATAAATATATATATATATATATATGATATAATTATATATCTTAAGCAACAATTATTGAGAATATAAATGATTGTATAAAAAATAAGTAAGAGAGAGCTAGCAGAAAAGCATGTCTTTTGTACATTGTATTTATTAGTATAAGGAGACCTCTTGAATACCCTTACAAACACGCTTCTATAAAATTGTAGTTTGCTATCCCTTTGCATATCATACAAAATTTGACTTTTATAATTAACTTATTAATTAAAAATAATACATCTTATTTAATGCTCTATCAAGCCTAATCTTTCTTCTGCAATATACATATTAATAAATGTCACAATATGCCTGCGTAACGATGATACAAGCAATATATATAAACCAAAAACATATAATTATAGCTATATTTAACAAATGAGATATTTGTATATATTTGCCATAATATTAAATACAATGAAAAGTAGTTGTCACCTGATATACAGCAGATAGAATTAATGTTTCAATATATAAAGTTGAATTTATTTCTAATCTTATTAACAATAATTTACTGAAATATATAGTTCAAGTATATAACAGATGATATATGTGTATGAATTACTAGAAGATTGTAAGTGGTAATCCTTTATCGGTAATTATTTTAAGTGTTATACAATCGTCTTTATGACTATATAGATTATAAAGCATAACACAAGTGTGGAATATTTAGGTTTCGTAACTATAAAACTTCGACGTTGCATTGTCTCGTCGCACTAAAATGTTCATGTCACGAGTATGAGAGTTCAAAGCGATTATTTTACTCCAATACGGTCTTCCAAATATCACAATATATATATCGTAAACGACCATAATAAAGAAAGCATTGTTCTTAGAATTTAATTGCCGATAAAAGCTGAAACACTTCTATAGATGATGTTTAGCAGTCTAAGAAATTGCCGGCCATCAACAGCTCCAGAGCAATCTCGGGTGCAATAGGAAATTCTGGTATTTCTGTACTGCTGTTTGTGTAGCGTACTTTGTAAGTAAAATACATGCAGACCTTTTGTAATACGTGAGACCTATAAAAAAAAGACATTTATTCAAACAACTATTATAATATATGTATTAGACTTATTTAACGAGTTAATAAGAAAAAACAAATAGTTTGTATCTTTTATACTTACGGAATTTCTCGGAAGTTGACTTCATTTGCTTCATTCTCTGCAAATTGACCAGGACCACTCAACATTGCTTTGATAGTACCACTCGTTAACGCATGTTCCCGTTTAACAATAAACTCATGGCCATCGCTACTGACCAGCTTCACGTACATTGCATTTGGTCCTTCGCAGCCTCCATAAACGGGACTACCGTTTTGCTAAAAAAAAATTTCCAAAACATCTATCACGTTATTTGCCACATAAATAGAGACTTGACAAAATTTTATATCTAAATCTAAAATATTGTACAATTGGAAGAAATAATGAAGTATAGTGGGATAAATAAAAAGAACCACCTCTAGAAAGCAAAATTTAATTTGGAAAAATAGGTACCGCATGCATGTCTTTAGACGATCTGCCATCTTCTTCTTCGGTCTTATTGACACTTGCTTCTTCATTGTGCTTAATCCAAAGAAAGATTATTGTTAATCAATATTTTACAAGCTTTCAGCTTTCCAGAAAGGGAACGAGTAATTTTTATGTATAACAGCAACACACCATGTACACGATTACCATAACAGAGAGAGATATATTGTGTTATACATCCTGATTACCATGCAGAGGTACATCATGCAAACGAAACTATTTCTATACGTACCTTCTCAGCCTGCATATTTACATCAGTGGACATGTTTGCTGTTGTATAAATATCCTCCTAAAACAAAACAGTTCAAATATACAATCTATATATATATATACATACATATACATGTATAAAGCACAAATGATATCATACATAATAACAGATAAATTATGTATGATAATTATATATGTTAAAAACTAAATAGTGATTAAACAAAAAATATGAAGCTATTGTTTACAAAATTTCAAAAATACCAAATTATTGTTGTTATCATAGGCATAATTTAAAGCATCAACTAAAACATTGTAAGTATACTGAAAAATAACACTAAAGGTTATAAGCTACACATTGGAAAGTAACGTTTAAAATACGAAAAGAATAGTGTTTTTTGGAACACCGTATTTTATATGCACGCGAAACTAATAAAAAAATTAAGTAACAATTTCAAACAAGGTTGCTTCTGTGCTTGCTTATATTTATCCGATGAAACAATTAAAATAGAAGTAATTTGCTGTATATTACTTTACTGCCAACTCGCTGTGCTACATCATTCTCGCGTTATATACAGTAACGTTGGATAGTTGATAAAAATAATTATAAATTATACTCGTCATATTATTATGAAATAGCGAGCGCCGTGAGCGGTTCTACGTACCTTAGAGACGACACGAAATTTTAATTAAATCAGACCTTCCTAATCGCGATATAGTGTTACAAGAGCAAACGTAATCAGCTGACAAATCATCGATGGTCGTCGACATCGACTGCCAATGACACTTGACTGGCTTGACACACGACCCCACGCCACGCTCCATATGTCGACGATACCGACGATACTGACGACAACTGACGACGATTGTCGAAACACGAGTGAACCTAGAAAGCAAAATCACGAATGTGAATGGTATGCTGTGATTTACCGATTCGTATCGTGCAAAATGCGTTTCGACATGTTTTGTTTACGTGACTCCAGATCGCGTTTCATTCGAGAGAGTGTAGTCACAATTGGTCACAATCTCAATTCTTTTATAGCCTAGACGTAAACCGTAAAGGTTAAATGAACATCTGCTATTTTTTTATGACTTTCAATGTGCCGTTTAACAATAATTGTGAGATAACTCAAGCAATGTTCAAAATTTTATGAATCGTTTCAATCCAGAAACATTTATTTTTTTATTGTAAAAATTTCATTCTCTTTCATAACTCCATCGAACTGACACGATCTGTCATTATCTCATCTTGCACAGGTTGGATTATAATGTATAACTTAGCTTTTAGTAGTAATTTATTTAAATGACAACAAAGCATTAATAAAATATAACAAATTATATTGTATAAAATTGAAAAATAAAATTAATAAATAAAAATAATCATTAAAACTTTTATCAATTTTCTGAATATGTTTTAGAAAGATGTAGGAAGATACAGCGATTAGATTAATGGATCATCATGGCTGTTTTTAAATCAAGACAAATTACCTGTTCATTAGAAACAATTGGATTAGCCAGATAATGCAGAGCTTTTTTAAATTGTACAAAACACATAAAGAATGTCCTTCAGAATACGTTTAGCTCGCAGCAGGCCAATTAGACTTTTGGGGAATGTGGCCATGAAGTGTTGGGCTTTTAGTGGAGCATATATTCTCTTATGCTTTTTTTTATATTGGTTATATGGCGGAATTTTGGCTTTTTTCTTACTGTGTTTTGCCACAACTGGTTCGTATATATATATTTTTTTTCGTATATATATATATATATTTTTTTTTTACTACAAAAGATTTCATTTTCTATAACCAGATTATTATTATAAATTTAGAAATTTTATATCAAATTAAAATACAGATATATTATAAACACAGATATTTTTTATTATTATAGGAATACTCTATCACAGAGAAGATCAACTTCTTTATCATCCGGAACTGCCAGCCCATTCGAGAGTCTATGTACCAGCTCATTCAATATTTAGTTTGCCTTATCAAAGTATATATACTATAGCTGGAGATGGCACAATCCTGCACATGTTTTTTGTTTCTCAACCAGAAGACAGAATGAGGAAAGCACCTACATTATTGTTTCTTCATGGCAATGCTGGCAATATAGGTCATCGGTATATTCATTATTTTACTGTATATTATAAATAACAATTAATATCTATATATTAATCTATAATTTATTTATAATTGTAATATAGTATATGGTATTCTGTTTGTTACAAAGAGAAAATTAGATTATTATAACAATAATGATTAACTGAAAAACATTTTTACAAATTTCTCTAATCAAAATACTGTAAATTATTAAAAACACTTTATTAATTATATCTGTAAAATTTCTGTATTGCTTGAGAAACAACAAAAGATGAATTATATATAAAATAAGTTACATTTATATAATGACAAATTATATCGTAATATTATGCATATATTTGTTTCAGATTGCAAAATATAGTAGGACTGTATCATAATATTCAATGTAACATTCTAATGTTAGAATATCGAGGATATGGCTTGTCGCAGGGTACTCCATCGGAGGAAGGGCTCTATATGGATGCCCGAGCAGGGATAGATTATCTGTTTAGTAGAACGGATATTAATACCAATGAAATCATAGTATTCGGTAGATCACTGGGTAAAAAATCTAATCTTATTATTTAGAATTTTTATTTATTTTTCAATATTTTTTAATCTTAGATTTTATTATATTGAGCTCTAAGATTAGTTAATCTTCTTACTAATTATCAGTATTTGTATGTAATAATTAAATTTGATTAAATTTTAATTTAATAGGTGGAGCAGTAGCTATTGATTTAGCTACAAAAGAAGAAAATTTACAGAGAATTTGGTGCCTTATACTTGAAAATACCTTCACTAGTATCCCAGATATGGCCGCCTTATTTGTAGGATCTAAATTTTTACAGTATCTGCCACTTTTTGTATATAAAAACAAGGTAATAAATAGAAAAGATTTACAAATTTTTAATTACTTTATGCGATTGTTCTGGTTCGCTCTTTACAAGTTTAAAGGTTTTACGAAAGAAGATATAATGTCTTATATATTATATTAAAAAAGATATCACATAATTAACACATATCTTCATACACTTTTTATTCTTCAAATTTATTAATTTATTAATTTATTACATTTCGTAATCTTTACAACCTCAATAATCTCGCTTCTCTATTCTTATATTTATTTATATATTTTCATATATTTTTATATTTTTTACATGATTCCTCATATTTTTTGTTGCAGTACTTGTCTGTTCTGAAAGTTCGTTCAGTGACGGTGCCCACTCTGTTTATTTCCGGTCTGGCGGATACATTGGTACCACCCCGCATGATGCAAGATCTTTATAAGAATTGTCGAAGCACATATAAGCGTATACTTCCGATCGTGGATGGCACACATAATGAAACCTGGTGTCAGCCGAGTTATTATCAAAATATTAACGCCTTTCTGACCGAGCTCAGGGAAAATCCACCTCCAAGGGTAACGTCTAATCATTGGCAAATCGATAATGTTTAGTGTAAAAGCACTTCTATCATCGCATCTATTACCGTTTATTAATATAATAAACGTAATTTTTATGTTTTAAAGGCATAAAAGAATCGATTTTATCGGATTGTACTTTTTCTACCTTTCGTAGAAATTGTCCTCATGTGTTGCAGAAACATAGAAGTCGACCTTATGACTGTCAAACGTAACTTTAATAATAATTAATCATGTGTCCAAATCAAATCATAATTAAATAAATTAAATAAATTAAATAATTAAATAATTAAATAAATTAAATAAGTACTTTTCGAGTTATAAATCAATAGTTTAAGTAGTATAATTAATTACTTGAACTTAATTAGCTTAAAGCTTAAATTAATGTAATTTGATTTAATGTCTTAACTTATTAATTTATTTAAGTTTTTTCTGGTTATTTTAATTAAATTAAAATAATTAGAAAAAACATGAGGGAGAAAAAGAGAATTAATCAATGGATCATAGTTATAATAAATATTTTAAGAAATCCGTATAATACAAGAACATGTGAATTAAAAATCTTTAAAATTCAAAAAGTAATAATTTTTAAAACCTACAGTTTACAAGTATGTGACGAGAATATTAAAAAACACAAGTTTATTTACTAGAGTAAGTTGAGTTTAATTGTGACTACCAAAGTATACATGAGTCTGCGAAAATAAAATTTTTAATATATTTCTTCCTATAAATCAATATTAGGGATTTTATTATACATATATTATTGCTGATCGTTCCTGTTACAATGAGAACTATATAAAAAAATTAGAAAATATAATTAGATTATATATTATGACGACTAATCTATGCAATTTTTACAAGAATTACGTAGATTGCATATTATGTAAGTTGTGCTAAGAATATAATAAAAAATATCTTTTATATTTTTTTCCAATAATAGTCTTCATGTTTTTATAAGAATAAAAAGTTTTAATGTCTACGATTAATTCGTCTTCTTTTTGCATTCATTCTTCGAATCAATAGCATGCCGATTATCATTAGGATTCCAAGCAGAGCAGTCAGTGTGGCCAAAACAGTAATCATTCCAGAACCAGGTTTGAATGTTACAACCTGTTTACTATAAATACTTGCAATGTTAACGGTCATTTTTTCTGCAAAATGTGAAAACTCGTCGCAAAAGACTTCTCCCTTCCATTTGTACCAATGAATCATCCTTTTGTTGGCTAATGCAGGTGGCTCAGCACATCTAAGTAATAACAAAATGTGAAAAATAAGATACATTGATGAATGATGTTTGATTCATTTATGTGAGTTTTGCGATAAAAAAATAAAAACACATATAGGGATAATCTCAAGATATGTATAAAAATATTACTTTGTATATATACAATATGATTTTGTTACGAATAAATAGTAAATCAAATTAATTTTAATTTAATAGGTATATTGGGAAAAAAAAGAAATTAAATCCTTAGTTATCATTAAATCCTTAATATATTTAAAATAGGTTCTAAAATATTCAATAATATTAACTTATAAAATTACCTCAAATCTTCTAAAAGACTGGGATTCATTATATAAAGTTTTGGAACTAATTCGTTCAACATCCATTGCAATGAGCAATTACAAATAAATGGATTTCCTTGCAGATTAATGAGATATTTTAGATTTGAAATATTTTTGTTGTAAACATTTATATTAAATAGTTTTGATGGCAAGTGGGTAAAACAATTATTGCTCAAATCTAACTGAAAAATGAAAAAAATTGTATAATAAACATGCTTTTTTAAATGAAATATTTTTATATAAAAGGCTTTTGTATATAAAATACTAACAGAGCAAATATTCATATGTTGAAAAACGTTTTCCTTAATCATATTCAACTTTTTATTACTCGAAATAGTTATATTGATACAACCATTTTTCTTCTCCTTTAACATTAGAAATGTTTCTTTGTCAATTTTCTCAAGAGTTTCCATAAATTTCACTTCAAATATTTCTAAATTTAATTCAGATCGAATTTTTATATCTTTCAAATGATTCCCATTGACTTTAAAAATTCTTAAACTTGGAAAATTTTTAATAGAAATAGTTTCAGGTATTATTGTTAAATTATTGAAGGATACATCTAACGTCTCTAAACTTTTCAGAAAAACTTCTGGAAAGTCTGATAAGGAATTTTCTCTGATATTTAAATTTTTTAATTCTTCTAATAAAGTTAAATTGTCACATATGTTAAAAATGCTATTGTTTTGAATGTTTAAGGTATGAATTGATGATTTTTGAAATGATATAATATTGATAAGATTGTTTTCCGTGTAAAGTTCCAACAATGACAACGGAAGATTTTGGAAACTTAGGGAGAGAAGCTGATTATTGTTCACGCGAAGAATCTTCAAATGTTGCATATAAAGTAAAGAATTGACTGGGAGAGTAGTAAATTTATTGAAGGAGAGATTTAAATATTCCAACTCCGGCATAACATCGAGAAAATTCTGTAAAGTATTAAAGTAAATGAATTTAATAGAAGTAATGTTAATATATTGCAATAACTTTTATATATAATATAATATTAATTATATTATTATAATACAGCACTACTATAATAAATTTCACTAAAATTTTGTTTGCTGTTAGAATTAAAAGTTTTATTGTTAAAATTACTGTATTACCAAATCAACAAGATTGTTGTGAGATACATCAAAGACTTTTAACTTTGTTGTTGCATTTTCTGAACTTTTTTCCAAATTGTTCATATGATTATAACTCAAATTAAATTTGGAAAGGGAAGAAGCTGTACTTAAGACAGCAATATCGAAGCCCCAAAGTAAATTGCTAGAATAATCTAAATCTTCGAGCTCATTTAGATTCTTAAGGATGTCTGAATGTATATTATCCAATTTATTTTGAGACAAATCCAATCTCTTTAAATGTTTCAGATGTTTTAATTCATTTAGAGATAAAAGCACTATATTGTTCTTTGAAAGAATAAGTTTGTTTAATGGTCGATGCTTATCTAGAGTAAGAAGATCGAAGTTAAGAACTTCATTGGTTCCCAAGTGTTTGTCATGACAATCAATAATTGGTCCTACATCTGTAAGAACATGTAATATTACATTGATATTTATGATTTATATTACTAGCGTATCTCATCATATTACAAATCATATATTGTGATATATTACTTACAGTAACAATGATAATGACAAAAATGTATATTACCATGTATTTATTGAGATTTATTGTCATTTATTAATTTATTAAATCTTGTAATTTTTTTAAATATTCAACGCATATAACTTTTATAATTAGTAGTAATGATATAATAACACAAATATCATGTATTTATTATTTTTTAACCGATTCCTTCTATTATTTCCTCTGCGGCGATAGATATCTTATCATTCTTTTTCTTTTGAACTTACTTGAGGTAGAACATCCACAGGTTTCACATATATCGCATAAACATTCGTTGCACAGAAATAAAAGTGATAGTGCAATAATATTAAACATTATGAGATATCTGTACTGTGATTTTACACACAGGCTATCATTAAATAGTATATATTTAATTATATAGTAGATACACGCCTATACTATAGCCGACCCCGATAGCATATCTGATAAGTGCGTCAACCATGTGAGCAATATGTATGAGATTACATACTACTCATCTTGCGGGAAATATAGGTACGACGGATATCATTTAATTAATTATTGATATAACTCACAATTTCTTATAATTATGTAGAAACAATTTTAATTTTTTATACATTTTAATCCATTAACTTAAGAAATAAACTCGGATGTTATGTACGTAAAGTCGAGATAATAAACGTAAATACAAAATAACTTTTTTAGGTATCCATTTTTAAGTATCCATAAAAATAATCACAAATTGTCATATTCAATAATTACATTAATTACGTACATAAATTTAAAATGCTTCCACTACTAAATATAGACCGTGTCCTGATATACTTTCAGTACTGAAAATCTATAATATACTTTTATCGTGAATTATATATTTTAGTACTGACAATGTATATAGCGAAACAAGGTTATAGTAGAATGTCTATTTTATAGATATCCTTTATTATGGAACAGCATCCCCCTCAAAATGATCGAATTTTTGTGTAAGATTTCGTGAATTTTTTTGTCTTTTAGTTTAAGCAAAATGTGATTTGATTTTGCTTTGACAAAGTGTAATATCCTCATCATTAATTATTTAGTTGCAGTATTCCCGGTATTCACATCTGATGGAGCAATTTATTTATCTGTATAAAAATTGATTACATTCTGTTATTGTAATAATATGATAAAAAAATAATACTAAGAGAAATTAAAAATAAATATTAATAAAAAAGTTATAATTTGTCATTTTCTGCCATCTATAAAATTAATAGAGAATTTGATAGATGGCAGAAAATGAACAATCTAATATAATATACAAACAATCTCTTACAATAAGTATTGCAAAATTATCAGTTTATTCTTTGCAGAGATGATATATATTATTTAAAAAACAAATGAATATGCATCCAACTTACTTCGACAATTTTAAAACAATTCTAACATTTTTTAAAGAAATTTGTAAGTGTAGACTGCTTTTTTTTCACTTTTTCCATTTTGGCTTCTGTTTTTTTCTGCTCTTTTCTCTTTGTCTCTTCTTCTCTTTCTTTCTCATCTTCAGAACAACTTACATAAACATGTTCTTTCTTTGTTACAATATATTCACCTTCTTTATAAGTTCTATTAATTAACTTCAACACTTTTCTTTTACCATTTTCATGTTTTACTTTTGGTGGAGAAGGACTCTTTACTTTTATAGAAATTTCTGGTTCCATTTCAGGAACCGACTCCTCCATCTCTATATCACTTTGTATCTCTGAATCACTAGAATCAATCTGTATAACAATTCTTTTCCGTTTCTTAGCAACTTCATTTGTTTCTTTACTTCTATTCCGCTTTTTTCCATGTGAATTCTTGTTTTCTTTAATTACTTTTCCTTCGATAAATTCTTTTTCGGCATTATCATTTTTCTTTCCCGATGATATTACTTCTGCAGATTTTGGAAGAGAGGGCAGCTTCCCAAAAAAATTATCCAAGTTTCCCTTTTTAGAGTCATTTTGTGGGAATATTTTTTTAGTAGTAGAATTGGCTGTAGAATTTTTATTTTTCTCAGTTAAATTTTGAATTTTTTTTACAGTATTTTTTCCTTTTTTCATTGAATCTCCATCACTTTCTTGGAAAGATGATTTTAATTTTTCAGAACTCTTTGATTTTTCTGTCATGTTAAATAAATTATTAAATCCATTTTTCTTTGTTGTCTTTGGATTCTTTTCTACCTTTGATGGATTTGTCGAAATTGTAGATTTTAAATTTGTCACATTTTCCATTGTAACTTTTTTAGCAGTTGTACCCCAACGTAATAGTTGCATTTCTTCGTCAGTTCGCTCTTTGCAAGCATCACATTTTATAGCACTGTAAGTTGCATCACCTGAACCAGAAGTAGCAAGTAATTCCAGATCTGCAATTGGCCTGTGTACACTATAGACATGCTCTGAGATAATTTTACTGAATTTTTTTTTAGCCTCAGATAAATTGGATCCTTTAACAACTTCTACACTCATTCCTTTCTTCTTTAGATGACCTATCAGTAAATATGTGCATTCTAGGTTATTGTTACTTTGATATTTTTGATAAAAGTTCCACAAGATTTGTTTTGCTATATTAACATGAACATGCATCTCTTTGCTTAGCCATTTGTAGGTGACCTAAAAATATACATCATTGCATTATACATGATGCAGAATAATAATAATAAATAAAATATTTATACACAAAACATAATGCGGAATGTTATATATATAAAAGATTGCGATAAAATTACCAGCTTGTCATTATCAAAAACATGACCAGCCAAAGTCTCTAAATGCTCATTCGATATTTCCGTATTCATTTTCCAACAATTTGTGTCCCAAATAATTGTTCATTAACAATACGGATCCACACAAATCCACACTAGTAGTTGAATTTCCACCAAACTTTTCTTCTCTGTATATTGGCCCCGTACTCCAAGATGATAGATCAGTAATAAATTTTCTCTTCAAATTTTTTACAAGGAAATCCGGGGATATTGAGTGAATAAACGTTGAGTAAATTGTAAAAATATTCGTTGAATTAAGTCCTGCGCACAATAGAGGAAATAATGGCTGCGTTCAGCAGAGAAAGCAGCTTTGCAACTGTTGTAAAATTCTTCAATA